GGGGGAAAAGGGGGATTTGGGGACACAGGGGATTTGGGGAGAAAACAGGGAATTTGAAGAGACAGAGGGAATTTGGGGGGAAGAAGGAATTTAGGGGATTTGGAGGGGAAAGGGGATTGAGGGGGAAACAGGGAATTTGGAGGGACGGAGTTTTGGGGGACAGAGGGAATTTGGGGGGGCTGGATTTGGGGGAAGAGGAATTTCGGGGCAACACAGGGATTTGGGGTGAAGAGGGGATTTGGGGGGACAGAGGATTTGGAGGGAAAGAAGGAATTTGAGGGGGACACCAGGATTTGGGGGGAAGAGGGAATTGGAAGGAGACAGAGGGGTTTGGGGGGATGGGGTCTGTGGGGGAAAGAGGGTTTGGAGGCACAGGGGGGTTTGGGAGGAAGAGGAATTTGAGGAGTACACAGGGATTTGGGGGGGAACAGGGATTTGGGGGGAAAAGGGAATTGGGGAGTAAGAGGGGATTTGGGGGCAAAGTGGGGATTTGGGGGGGACACAGGGGTTTGAGAGACAGAGGAGATTTAGGGGGGAAGAGTTTGGGGAGGCAGGGATTTGGTGGGAAAAGGGGCTTTGGGGTGATACAGGGATTTGGGGGAAAAGGTGGAATTTTGGGGGCAGGAGGGATTTAGAGGAGAAACAGGGAATTTGTGGGGGCACATCCAACACACTCCCAAGGCCTCGCTGACTCACACCCCCCCCCCCCCCCCCCCCCCCCCCCCCCCCCCCCCCCCCCCCCCCGCCCCCCCCTTTTCCCAGAGCACCTTCCGTGTCCCGGCTCCGTCCCGGTCCCAGCCCGGGCTCCCGCTTTTCCTGCCTCTGGAAATATGTCCGAGGGAGTGGATCTGATTGACATCTACGCCGACGAGGAGTTCACCCAGGTGAGGGCCGGGATCGGGATCCACCCCCTCCCCAGGGTCCTCCAGCTCGGCCAAGGTGTGGCTGGGAAAGGGCTGGGATCCTTCCCAAATCCCAGGGGCCGGGGTTAAAGGGTTTGGGATTTGGGGATTTAGCCGCACCCTGGAAAAATGAGGAATCCTGGCTGGGAGAGGCGCTTCCAGGGAATTACACAGTGAAGGGATGCAGAGGGATGAATCCGTGGGATCGCTCGTGGGAAGATATCCCTGTGCCACCTGTCCCATCCCAGGGATGTCTGGGATTCACAGGAGGGAATGGGTGCTGGAGAAGCAGATCTTAGGGATTTTTTGGATCTGGGAGAGCCAAGTGTGAAGAGAGAGGGCGGAAGATGGAAAACAGCCATGGAAAACCTGTGGAGGGAAGCTGGCAAAAGGAAAAGCCACGGGAAGTGGAAGGAAAACAGCTGGATTAAGGAATCACCGTGGAGGGAGGAATTCCTGGGGAGGTCCTGGAGGGATAAAGAGGAGCTGGGAAGGAAGGAATTCCTGGGAGCTCCTGGATGGATGAAGAGGAGGTTGTTGTGCTTATTGGGTGAGAATATCCATGGATTAGACCTTCAGGAAAACCAGGAAACCGTGTCCATGACCTTGGAGCCAGGGGGGCTTCCAGGTGCTTTCCAGCCTCCTGGGAAGAAGCAGGAGTTGCCAAAATAATGGGAATGCCACCAAAAAAAAGGGAGTTGTCTGTGCTGCCTGGAGTTTCCAACTTCCAAGCACCTCTCCAGCATCATTCCTGGAAAACTCCTGGAATAAACCAGATTCCCAGTGTACCTTGCTCTGGGACCGAACGGCTCCGGCTTAGGAATGTCCTCAGATTTTGTGTTTTTATGGGATTTGCATCAGGAAAAAGGTATGCCTGGAGTTGGGAGAGCTGGAAAACTGCAAGAATGAGGGTGGAAAGTGGAAACGTGGGAGAATCCATGGCTGGAGTTGACATGGGAATGTTTTCTGAGGAGCTTGGAGGGTCTGGGGTGGTTTTAGTGAAAGCTTTGGGATCTCTGGGAATGAGGAAGCGAAATGGGTGGGAGCAGGATTGGAGTAAGCTGGAACACACAGCGTGGAAGGATTTAACTGGGAATTTGGGGAATAATGCACCAAAGGTCCTTGACTGGCCAAGAGGATCCTCAAAGCTGGAATGATGATCCAGGCCAACAACTCCGGCACCTCGGGACGTGTGGGAGCAGGAAACCCGGAGTTAATCCATGTTAGGATCAAAGCTGTGGTGTCCCTGTGGCATTCCAGGGATTCCAGTGTAATTCCAAATGCCACAGCATGTGCTAATTCCCACTAACAGTGCCCACAGGGCTTCATCCCTGTGCACCTGGACTGGGAGCCGGAGGATCCCTAAAAACTCCCAAGCTGAGGCACCCTCCAAGTATCCTCAGGGATTCCAAGTGATTCCTCCTCCTTCCTATTTTTGCTCTGCGCTTTCTGAAACTTCCAGGCAGGAATCTCCCAGCCCTGGGCCGTATCCAAAGGCTCCTGGTGGAGGTAGGAACGTGGGAGTCGGAATAACCAAACACTTGAGCTTTTTTGGGAATGAGCACAAAACTCCAGCTCCCTTTTCAGATCCTGCTTTTTGTCAACTCTGTGGGAAGAGCCGGATGCAAAGGTTCAGGAAGAGGGAAAACGGTTGGATTTGGGGATTTCCATGATCCTTGTGCTGAGGGTCCTTCCCTTTCTTGCTCCTAACGGGACGTTTGCAATTCCCTGACTCTCAGAGCGTGGATTTATCCACCTCACACACGTGGATTTATCCACCATTCCATCTCCAATGGAAAACATTATCCAAACTGCCTGGAATTCAAAATCTGGGAACAGAACCTCTGGTTTTTATGGGACACCAGCCCTGTGCCTCGCTCCCATGGGATGGATCCTCCCGGAGGGATTGAGGGGGTGTGCAGCTCCCAAGCTGGAATTTTGGGAAGCATGAGCTGCCAAGGAGGGAGAGGCTCATCCCTGGAGGGCGCTTGGTTTTTCCACCATTGAACTCTTTCCCTCCAAAGTGGGAATTTCTTTCTGGTGGTTTCCAGGAGCAGCAGCTTGGGTCTTGTCCTGTTTGGGAAAGCTGAGATCCCAGTGGGCTGGTCCTTGGAATGTGCTAGAGCCCAGTGGGGGTTTTGGGATATTGGGAAGAAATCCTTCCCTGTGAGGGCGGTGAGGCCCTGGAATGGATTTTCCAGGGAAGCTGTGGCTGCCCCATCCCTGGAAGTGTCCGAGGCCAGGTTGGAAAAGGGCTTGGAGCAGCCTGGGATAGTGGAAGGTGGATCAGATGGTCCTTAAAGTCCCTTCCCACCCAAACCATTCCAGGATTCCATGATTCTGATTCTAACCTCTGCTTCAGTCCCAAAATCCAAGTGGCCTCGCCTCCGTATCCCCCAGGATTTACGTATGTCCTTCCCAAAGGATTTAAGCTCATCCCTGGGAGCTCCCATTAGGGGAAGGTGGGAGGCAGGGGGTGGGAATGGGTGATCCTTAAGGATCCTGCTCCCTTCCCACCCAAACCGTTCCAGGATTCCATGAAAGCAGAGCCCATTTCTTTGGGATTGCCCGGGCGAGGGACGGCCCCAATTCCCAACCGCGCACAGACCCAGACCGAGCCATCGGGGCGGGAATTCCGCTCGGGAATCGGGCCGGCC